TATTGTCCACAGTGCGCCTCCTCTGAGCCCCAGTATGCTGTTCTCTTTCCTTCTAGTTGAAGAATTTCCCCTCAGCCAGCTTTCCTGTGGTTCTGGATGATGTCCGTCCATCTTTTAGTTATATTTTTGAAGTGGTTGTTCGAGGCAGCAAACTCCGGTGTTTACCTATGCCGCCATCTTGGTTCTCCTCAATAAAATACATATTTTTTAAAAAAATGTAAGTGTAAGTCTGCTGCTGTTGTTCATGGCTTCCGAGCACAAGGGGTTAAGTTCTTCCCTCGGTGTGTCTGGAACAGAAGCGTGGCAGTGGGCACCTGGAGCTCTGCCGACAGGCGGTTACACCCCCATCTGAACCACCTGGGCAACGTGTCAGCCATGAAGGAGCCACCGATGGGAAGAGAATCTAAAGGCTGGAGACTTTCCGGGCTTGTCAACCAGGGTCACGGGTGTGCTGAGTTCCCCCTCTACCACCTTCCCCCATCACCCCCAAAATGCAAACACCCCAGCCTCACAGCAGAATACATCCCTTGCTTCAGATGTTTAGATATGAAGTGACAGACATATCAAGCCTGGGAGATCTAGGCATTCGTCCTGGGAGCTCAAGGAAGACACTGACCCTCCTTGATGTCACATGGAAATGACTGCAAAATGCAAACCTGCTTCCTGCTCCGTGATGAGAAGCTTGGCTTGACACGGGGACTTGCCCCTGAATCAGCATGTGGGCGAAGGGTTTGGGATGTAAGGGGAAATTCACTTCACCCAGACACCCATGTTGCACCCTGACCCTTTCCCCTGCTTTTTCTATCAAGGACAGGAAAGATGAAAGAGGAAAATTTTAAAGTGGCAATAAGAAGAACTACTGTCCACTTGCCCCCTGCCCCCCAACCTGCCCCATCAAAACTAAACCCCGGGAGGCTCATGACCAGGGCACCTGCTGACCCCACAGGCAGGGTCACACCAGCCATGAGGACCTCTGCATCCTGGGTCTCCTTGGAGGCCCCGCTGCTGTGGAATCCACCTGCTCTAAAGAAAGAGAGCCCAGGTTCTGGAAAGTTCCAGCTCCAGACC